GGGACCATAATCACATTGTAAAACTATATGTGAAAGAGATCAGATGATTGCCAGACTTTGGGCTTAGAGTAAAGAAAGCCAGGGCCCTGTTTTCCAGCTGGTCAACTTTGGAATCTTGCTACTGGGGACTGAGAAGCTTGATCATCCTAAACCTATTTCATGCTTTGCTGTCACGTTACCTTGCTTATTTCCCCTATACTGACTTTTGACTGCCTTGCCTGTGTGTTCCCTGCAGTATCTGAAAAAACTTCACACCCAAGAGCGAGCAGTGGAGGAAGTCAAGCTAGCCATCAAGCCCTATTACCAGAAAAAGGAGATTACCAAGGAAGAATACAAGGACATCTTGCGCAAAGCTGTCCACAAGGTAAAGCAGTGGCATCATAGAGGAAGAAAATGTGAGCACAGAGAGGACAGAGTATTATGGAAATCACTTTCTTTTCTTTTTCATTCTTCTTCCTCCGCTCCCTTTTAGATCTGCCACAGCAAGAGTGGTGAAATCAACCCTGTCAAGGTGAATAACTTAGTGAAGGCCTATGTCCAGAGATACAAGTACTTTCGAAAACATGGACGGAAGATGGATGAAGAGCAAAAGCCTCCCAAGGAAATGGGGGGACCGGACAAATCTGGCTTGCCCATGCCCCCGCTCTGATCTCCTCTGAAGGAAAAAGAATCAGCAGCCCTTCTTTATGCAAATTGGCTTGGCTGAGCTCCCCAGCCCTTTCCCTATCAAGGTGTGCGGAAAGTGGAAAGGGAGTTGGAGCGATACATTTTGTTTTGGAGGGGTGGCATTTGTAGAGTACAGTTCTTGTGCATCTGCTACCTGCCCTGGAAATCTTTCCCTTGCCTTTCCTAAATACTTTCACAGATTTGGCCACAAGATTGACTTGTGTTTTGCTCTGTAAATACCGATGGCAGAGAATGGGGCTAATTTTAAGTTTCATCACTTTCAAGCACCCATGATACCTATGGGTGGATGTTATTCCTCTGACACGCCTAGTTTTTACTCATTTAGCATGTTTTTGATTTGATGGTGTTATCTTTGCCCTCTCTCGTCAATGGTCATGAAATGGCAGCACCATGGTTGACGTACAGATGGCAGTTTCCTGTCATCCTGGACAGGCAAACACCCCTTATTTTCTGCTTCCAATTGTAAGTTTGTCTGTCATACTCTTTCCCACCCTGTTTATCTTCATAAAACTGCATTTAGCCATCTAAACTGGGCATTGTCTCTGTGATCTTTTTGCAATGTGATTTCTATCGCTTTCTTTCACAGGCAAGTGGATTGCATTTGTAATTATCATTATGAGTGTTTTTTTTTCTCCAAAGGATGCCTTTTGATGGCTATTGAGTAGACACTAACTTCTGTGCAGACTGCAATTTCTCCTCTATCTTACAGAAGGACTTGGCATGCTTTTAAGGCTTTAAGTGCCACCATGCTATTTCATGTAAAATTTCAGACATCAATTTTTCTTAGGTTTAAAAGTGCCAAAAATCTCATGTAGTGTTACATGACAATAGAGCGAGTTTCTGAGGGATTTTAATTTAAACAAGTTGGCACAGACATACAGTGAAACCTCAACATAGATCTCCATTTTGCCAGTTATAGAGGCAGATCAGATTTCTATTGAGATGTCAACCCAAAACAACAGATTAAGTCCAGGGCACCCAAAATTGCCTGGATGACAGTAAGATTTACATTAATTTGATTATAATTTTATAATATCTGCAGCAGTTAACATTATTTGCACAATAATTATGCTATTTGTCTCAATCAGTTTGTGGTAAAATCATGCATATAATTGTAATGATATACAAAATGTTGAGAATAACACTCCTTTCCCAGTTGGTTCATTAAAATGATTTTTATGTATTTGGAGGGTACGTAAATACCATCTTGTGGGTGATGTGGGTAATGCATTAATAATCCAGGTTTTTAGTTTTAAATAGTACTCAAATTTCCACTCTTAGCTGTTCATGGAAATATCCTACTAGAGGCACTTAAGTTCTCCATAGCAAAATCCTGTGTCCGCTTAGTGTAGTCCAAAGCCTATGCTTGTCTGAAAATAGAAGTAGTTCAGAAGAAAGAAACTCAAATTGTGAACAGAAAGGAAAATGAAACCAATAAAAGAAAAATGAAAGATAACTTCACAAATGAAAAGGGTAATGACTGCAGTGCACAACTAGATATGTGATAGAGTAGGCAAACATTAGGACAAAATTCTCAAAGGTAAGGGCAGTTCAACCAGGAAATTGGTGAGATTACCATGGTATCTGGGTCTGCTTGTTGGAGATCGTTGGGCTCTGAACAGTCATTTTGGATTTCTTTATTTCTGAAGGTCCCATTTTGAATAGGATTCAACCTAATGGCCTATAAAGCCACTTTTATTTGTAGTATTTACATACCAAAGAAATATATCCACAGGAATTAGGGTAAACAGATATCTGATAAGGGTGCCTGAGAACTTGTAAAAGTGGGTTAAAAGTGTGGGGAAACCTGCTGACAAATTGCAAGATTTGGCCCAAAACAGTAAGGATATCAGTCAAGATCACAACAAATATTTTCTGAAAAGGAAACTCAGATCTTAAGATGGAGAATTGGGTAATTTCTTGTATCTATCTTCAAGGTGGTTGCTGCATGATAAGCTTATGCATCTATATTCACAACTGGAGAAAAAAAGTTTCTGAATAATGAAAGCTGCTCTTTCTCTGCTTAAAGAACATACATTCTTGCTTGGGTATTTTTGTCTGTTAGGGAAGGCAGGGAGACTAACTGAAATGGCATAGGACCTGACTTGTGGAAGAGGACTACTGGAAGAAATACCATGTGATGTTGCTGGGAAAAGAGATACTTTGAAGAGCAATATGGACATTTGAACATAAACAATTATGTTGCTTTACCAATTTGGACCAGACATTTACAGTACTTACAAGAAATGGCAAGAATGTTTAGGATTTTTTAGAACAGAAAAATAGAACGTGAGAAGTGAACACAGAAGAAACATACACATTTGGGGTCCAGGTAAGTGTTTTCTACCCAGATTTATTATCTGCTGGATTATTCTGCAGAATCTATCCTGGCAGAAGACTGGAATGGATAAAATAAAAGCTTTACTCCAGAGTGTATGTTTGGAATTTACGTCTGCAAGACATGATTTAAGTCACCAGGGTTGAGTTATGTTTCAGTTATTGCTTTGGTCTAACAGAATTACCGTCCCCATATTTTATTGTTTCTACTGCTTAGCAACTCTTGCTCCTGCTTTTAAAATCATGATGAGTTAGAAGTTGAAGCTAGGTAGAGAATGGTCTTTCTCTCCAATCTATTTAATTTATAATTAAATATATTTGTTGTACAATAAATTTTAGAGTCAGCCTGCTGTAGAGATTAGAGTCCTGGTCTAGAAATCAGGAACCCGCGAGTTTTAATCCTTATTACACCCAACTGGGTGATCTTTGGGCCAGTCATTCTGAACTCTAAGGAGAAAATGGTAACCATTTCTGAAATCTTGCCAAGAAAACTGCAGAGACTTATCCAGGCAGTCAGCAGGAGGCAACAGACGCAAACTTTTTTTTTTTTTTTAACTGCATATGTATAATCTATTGGTACATGCATCTATTCATTCTTCATTTCATGTAGCTGGTAGATTGCTTTGTGTTATGTGAATCTCTGATCATAGATAATGCTAAGCTAAGCTAGCAAGATGCTTTAAGATAATTTTAGCCACTCCTATGATTAACTTACAAATCCTGGCCTGTTAAGATGCATTCAACCATATTTTTGAATTTGTGCATAACATGTTTTCTTCCTGGCTTAGTAATGTGCAGTGCTTTTTTTGTAAAAAAAAAAAAAAAAAAAAGTGTCGGAACTCACACACGTCATACAACCCGCCTTGCCTACGCTACAGGGTTCCATCCAAAAAAGGTGCTGGAACTCCGTTCTGGGTGTTCTATGAGAAAAAAAGCCCTGGTAATGTGCCAAGTGGGGTGACTGTTCTTCAGTCACAGATTAAGCTCAGATTCTTGGCTTAGTTTCATGTGCCAATGCAGAATTAGGAACCACCCAGAAAGGGCTTTATTGCAGTTCTCAACCTTTCAGATGCAATCAGCTTTAATTACCATAATCTCTAAATGCCATGGGTCCCTAGGCTAGGTATTCAGAGAGATGAAATTAAACACAACCAGAGGGTGCCATATCAACATTAAGCACTCCATTGGAAAAGAATAGAATAATTATACTTTGAAATAACAATATTAATTTGGTTTGAATTGAGAAAATCCTCCCAGTCCTGGGAGTTCCACATTGCAGGTGGCTACTGGACTAACAGCTGACCCAATTTCCTCCACCTCCCACTGTGCATCCTGCTCCCTTCCGGCCTATCTTTTAACTCGTATTGCTGCACTTCATTGTTTTACTATTGTTATATTAACATTTTTAAAAAATAATTTATGGTCTGTTGTAAGCCACTCAGAGCAGCCCCACAGTAACACGGGCGACAAATAAATTTAATCATAAATAAGTACATTTTAGAAGAAAGCAAAAAGAAAAATCCAAGCATAGGAATACACTGTACAGGAAACAGTTAATTAGAACAGGTGGGTAATAGTGTGCCACGCCCTCCAAATACATTGGACTATGACATCCATCAATCATGGATTGTAATACACACTTTCCAATTGAGATGACGAAGTAATATCAAGTTGAGAAGCAAATTGCAAGAGTAGCAACAGGATTAAATACTGACTTTTGGTAAGATTTGATAAGGACGCAAGTAATAGTGGAACTAAACCTGTGCAATACTAGTCTGACAAAATTCCAACAAATAAGTCTTTAAGTGCCAAACTGCTGGCGATTTAAAAAAAAATCAAGATTGTATAAAATAGACAAAAGAGTAAAAAAGCTATTGAATTTTCCATAAGTCTAGATTATTTAAATCAGATGAAAATATGATTTGTGTAATATTAAATCTATTGTATCTCAGCAAGAAAAGAAGGAAATCAGCATATCAAGATAATATGAAGCAATGTTTAATTAGATCAAATACATAAAAAAAAACTTTTAAACATTTAGACAGTATGTAGGCTGGCAGGAGGAGGGAAACAATTTAACTCAAAAAGTCCAATAGAATCAGGCTACATTTCAGTTCTTGGTGTTTCACCTTTTCACAGGAAAGACAAAATGTCATTCTGCTGTAGAATAGAAGAATGCAACGTGCAGTACAGTACAGTGTAGCTAGTTTCTAAACTGTATCCATCTTTTCTTCCCACTTTCGGAGCTGCTCCAGAAGATATTGTTGTTGTAGAGAATCTGAAATCCTTAAGTCTGGTTCATTATCTTTTAATGATGATGCCCCATGACTTTTGCCTAGTTCACAAAGAGTTTCTAAAACCTTGGGAACTACCTAGGTATGGGAGAAGGGAGGAGAAAGGGGGAGAGAAAGAGAGCAAAACTATTTATAATCCATTATGTAAATTGTGTTCATCTGTAGTAAATCATCTCTAATGTAAGTGGTCATTTCTGTAATCTGCAATTGTAGAAACTTTCAGGTTGAAATATCTTGATGTGCACACACTGAATCATGACTTGTTGAATAAATCAGAAGGAGTCAGTGTCATACAATTATTGCTTTTTTTGTATATATATAAAAAAAAGATGCCGGAACTCACACATATCATACAACCTACCCTACAAGGTTCTATCCAAAAAAAGGTGCCGGAACTCCGTTCTGGGCATTCCATGGCAAAAAAAGCCCTGCGTACAATATTCTAATTTAGTAATATACCATATGTGGTCCTCCAACCTTTGGGTAAGCCCTCCAGAGACTCCCCAAAGGCATTGTTTCAGAAACATTATATTGTTTTCTGTGAATGTAAAAAATTGGATTCTAAATTTTAATGTGGCAGGAAAAAAATATTAAATATAAACCCCCTGGCATATTAACAAGATATATATTCTATGGTAGCCAGTAAACTATAGATTAGAATTGTTGGATTTGGATGGCAAATTAAGCCACAAATTAGAAATATATTCTACTTTAATATGTCTGAATCTAGCTACTCTAAAAGCAAGTCTAGCTTCTATGACTTCTGCTGGTGCCTTAAGGAATGGGGAATTTTTAGCTTGCTAGATTCTGTTTTTCAACTTGCTTCGATCCCAACCAACACAGCTATTATTCAAGGATATGAGATATTGTCAACATTCAGAAGGCCACTGGGTCACCATCCTTTTTACTTCCCAGCTTAAATCACTGCACTGCAACAATTATTGTAAACTTTGTTTACTTTTGGATTTCCTTAGAAAGATGGAGAAAAAAGCCCCAATCAGAATGTAGGAATGAATAACACAAGAGGGAGGAGAGATTTAAAGAAAGCCTTCTTCATTAGCAGTCAAAAGAACAGGACTGTTTTGGAAACACTTGAAAAACAACAATCTTTTCTGAGACTCGCTATAATTTATCCCTACAAAGAGAATCCTTTCCCTTTCGTAGTTTTGTTCAAAGCAGAGAAAAAGTTACACTTGCTTCTTCTTCCATCCTAACAAATCTATTATGAATATTAAGGGCAGAATAGAAAAGGAGTTTGGGGGTTTATATACACTACATACTAATGTTTACTGTGTTGTATAAATCAAGCCATTCTGCATTTCTTAGGTTATGGGTAAAGAAATTATAACTCAGTTTATGATACGTGAAGAACATTTGTGTGGTTGCTAAGAATCAACACAGATATATAATTACAATGTGTGAATCAGATCACTGAATCAATTGATAGCAAGCAATAAATAGCCACATACAGAAAAAGTTCTTCCTTCCGACTCAGATGATGTGTAACTTGTAATTCTAAAGAGATGATCATGTGCCCTTTTGATCAAGTGCAACCCCAGTTCAAGAACCCCAAATTCTTCTGCATTTGGGAGAAAAAGATCAACTTGGTTACGGTAAATTCAGAAATAGTTCATTCTTCCTCAATTTGTATCTGAACTGAATCACAGATAGATAAAAAAGACAAACCTCATTTTCACTGTGGAACTGATTTTGGCAAACGAACCACAAAAATCCTGAAGTAGTATTTTTGCTTATTGAAAAGCATGCCTCCAAATAAATTTCAATTGCATGTGTTTTATTTATTCAGTCTGTGTCCTTTCTATTTATCAAGTGCTCAAACCAGCAAACAACAATCACAATAATTAGAACCATCATATCTAAAATCATTAATACTTACATTTCAGCTAAAAAGTCTATTAGTTGTTTTGCTAAGGTGGACAGGCTAAATGCAATTCCCAGTGCAGAACATTTCATAGCTCTTAAAATTGAAGTCTCTTACTTTTTAATTAAGTTATAGAAAATGTGATTTATGCTACATCATTTTGGGTTTATGTGTCCAATTTATTTTACAGCTGTACATAAAAAAAATATTTCCTTGCAAGACAAGAAGAATAAGAAAAGCATACTGGGAAAAATGTACATATATACATTTAACAACCTTTCGGACAAGAACTTACTTGTACCACGATCAGTTTTTTCTTCCAGTTACAATTGGAATCAGGCCACTCTTCCCCAAAGCATAACCACCAAGTGTAATTAGGACAACCATTGCACCCTTCAATGTACCCAATCAATTCTGAGGGAAGAAAGAGAAGAGAGGGTGGGATTTTTTTTCCCCCTTGTATTTGGTTACTTCACCACAGGAAAATATAATATCCACTCTCCAATTAGTGCAGTGGTTCTCAACCTGTGGGTCGGGACCCCAGTTGGGGTCGAACAACCATTTCACAGGGGTCGCCAAACAAGGCTGTCCGCCATTTTCCCCCCTTTTCTTTGGCCACGCCCCTGGCACCCGGTGATGTATAAGTGGTTGGGGGTCACCACAACATAGGGAACTGTATTATGGGGTCGCGGCATTAGAAAGGTTGAGAACCACTGAATTAGTGAATGCACATGGGGAGAAAGTCATGTCTCTACTACCAAGGATGCCTCAAGTTTAACAAAAAGGGAGCAGTGAAATCCCCAAAATTTAGAATCAATACACAGCTAGTCCTCAACTTACAACCATTCATTTAGTGACCATTTGAAGTAACAGCTTATGGTCATTTTTGATACGTAAGACCATTTTGATCACATGTCATGGGGTTGTGTGATTCCATTTATAATCTTACCAGCCGGCTTTTAACATGCAAAGTCAATAGGGGAAGTCAGATTCACTTAATGATTGCACAATTCATTTATCAATAAGTAATTCACCTAACAACTGGGGCAAAATAGGTTGTAAAATGGAGCCAAACTGCCTTGCTTCACAACAGAAATTTTGGGCTCCATTATAGTCATAAGTACCACCTATAATATACCATAAGTATACTACATGTAGTGGCCATTTTGCAAGTTTTAACTTAATGAAAACCTATGGCTTCCCATAGACAGTTGAACTATCTATGGGTCATAGATTTAGAAAAAGCATGGCAAGAACAGGGACACATTGTAAGTCAGATGTAGATAGCCTGAGTATGTCCCCTAACCAATCATAAAAATCCATAATGGCTCTCCATTATGTGAATCATAGTTGAAATGTTATGCACAAATATAGCCTGGTTTCATATCTGTGTGCATAGAAAGAGGGAGAAAATGAGAAAACCCATTCTCACATAACACATTAGCTTCATTAAAATGTACAACATTTAGCCCCATCAAAAAAAATATTTTCCAGATGTTTAAGCTAGTTTCAAAAATAATTGTGGCACTTGTGACCATACTGCAAATCTACAGTGGATCATGGAAAAATCTTAAGTATCAAAAGATCATCTATATTTGCTTTATTGATTATAAGAAAGTCTTCAATTGTATTGATCACAGCAAGCTGTGGAGAGCCCTAAAAGACCTGAGAGTGACAACACATCTGGCCAAGTTGGTGCAGTCACTGTTCCCAATTCAGAAAGCCACTTATGGAAATTCTGATTGTTTTAAGGTAGAGAATGGAACGCAACAAGGTTGTATTCTTTTGGATTTCTTATTCAACCTGTATACCAAAGTGATCATGAAGAAGCTGAAACTTGAAGAATCAAAAATTTGAGTAAAGATTGGAGGAACATCAATAATCTTCAATATGTTGATGGCACAACTGTCAGGAATCAAAGAAGGCCTGAAACCTTTGATCAAAAGATTAAAGATAAAAGCAAGACTCTTCCTGAACATCAAAAAGACCAAGCTTATGACCATTGTGGGGAATGGAAATTTCAAAATAACAATGGATGGTAAAGAGATTGAATGTGTACAAGAATTCACTTTCATAGGATTGCAGATCAATCAAAGCAGGGAATGCAGCTCAGAAATAAAGCATCAAATCACACTGGGTCTCACAACAATGGTGAGTGTGAATCAAGTATGGAAAAGCAAGAACATCAGCTTGCCAACCAAATGAAGATTAGTCTACTTAAAAAATTGGACCATGAAAACAACTAGACAAAAGAAAAAATTATTTGAGTTGTGTTAGAAAAAGTTTCTTCACATTCTTTGGACAGCAAAAGTGACAAACAAGAAGGTACTGGAATGTATAAAACCAGATATCTCATTGGAAAATCACAAAATTCCATATTTTGGTCATATCATGCAATCAAATTAACCAGAAAAGGGCTGTTATGCTTAGAGTTGTCAGTGGTTAAAGAAAACAAGGCCACCAAAACAAAGTAGCCAAGACCCTATCAAAGCCAGCACCTGCCAGAGAATAAAATAACTGAAAGCTATACAAAACTGAAAAATGTGGAGAACGCTGATCTATAGAATCGCCAAGAATCAGACATGAATGTACAGAAAGTATAATTACATTATAAGGTCTACAGTTTGTAGATTGTAGATATGGGATGAGTCAATATGAGGTTTTTATTCTTAGAGCATTACAGTTTGCATTGTGTTTTGTTAATGTTTTGAAATGTTGTATGGACTCAGCCCTTGAGTTCTGCACCTGACACATTTTTGCTAAAAGAATGGGATTCTTGGCTGCAAAAGACTTCTATATATAGAAACTATTAATAACAAAAGCAGTGGTTTCCAATCCAACATTCATAAAGGCTTTGTTATTTTATTAGGACAGGGATAGGGAAACTGTGGACCTTTCATTTCAACAATATCTCATAGCATACCTAATACTAAAGACAGATGGAAGCTGTTATCCCAACATCTGGATGGAATCTCAGCTACAAATGAAATTAGGGACTTTCTGCTTTCAAAAGAAGCAGATAATGATAATCGAGACCTGAAAGTTTAGGAAAAGATAAGGAAATATATGGCCAATCAATTTCACGTGCTTTTCTATCCTTACCTTTGCTTAAAGGGATCCAGTAAAGGTAGTCCTCGACTTATGATCAAAGCAGAGAACAGAATTTCTGTTAAGTAAGGTTGTTATTAAGTGAATTTTATGACCTCTTTTGCCATGGCTGTTAAGCAAATGATTGCAGTTGTTAAATGGTTGTTAAGCTCCCCCCATTGACTTTGCTTGCTGGAAGCCAACTGGGAAGGTCACAAATGACAGTTCAGATGACCCCAGGACACTGCATCGGTTGTAAATTCATTCCAGTTGCCAAGCACCTGAATTCTGATTACATGACTGTGGAGATGCATTGTTGAAAGTGCGAAGACTGGTAAGTCACTTTTTTCAGTGCCATTGTATCTTTGGTCATTAAATTAATGATTTTAAGTCAAGGATTATCTGTCGTGATTTTAAATTCAGTTTTCTGAAAGTTTGGGATAGATTGCACTGGAAAATGTGTAATTTTCAAGAGAGGTATGGAAACCTGAAGTAGATTTGGAAGCCTTCTAACAACTGTATACAGCTCAGGGGTGGCATCTATACCAAATACTTGCAGAAGGCTGCCTGACTAAATTTCTGGCAACTCAAGTTAAAAAAAGATGAAAAACACCAAAAAGCAAATACTGCATGAATACTGAGTGAAACTCCTAGCTTGACTCTATAAGCATCAATATTGAGTCTTCAAAGAGGATCCTAAGAGTCAAGAATGCTCTCCTTCATTCCCAAAACCAAGTTTTTTTCATTATGCACTTTCCTCTTTTTTATTGGACAAGAATCAAAGTGACCAAATGTTCATTTGATCCATGGCTTTTTGAACAGAGAAGATGCTTCCTTGTAACCTATTATTTATGCAGAATGTTTTTCTTCTAAGCTGATTTCCCTGTCTGGTTGCAGGAGGAGAGCAGAAGTGATCTGTTCTAACCTGTCATACCACTGCAATCTCAATCTTGGACTGCTATCTGAGCAACATGGATTATATGCCATCAAGTCTTAAAAACCACACAAACCACTCCAGGACAAGCTGCATATATTATATTATATATTATATACATTAATGGGTGCATACCAGGCTCGCTTTTAGTAGCAAAAGCTCAATGAAGCCTTGTTTAGTGGTTATTTTAGCATAAGTAGAATTAACATACATCTGAACAAGTGTTCTTAGGAGTTGGGCTAAAAACCACCTTAGCATACCTGATATGAAAACCTGCAGATTGAAGATGGGAGTAAACTGTTCCTTCAGTAGATTTCCATGCAGTATCCCATCTCCCGGAATTTCAGATTGGCTCCAATAGACATGGCAAACACCTTTGCGCATGCCACACAGTTGGTTTCCCATGATACGGAGAAGCACACCTGGAGCCACTCCTTTGAGAAGGCGAAGAGTGTAATTTGCTTGCAGTTTATCGCTCAAAGTGGTGGGGTCAGGCAATGAGACGTCCTCCAAATCAGGATAATTGCCAGAGACACCAGGAGGCACAAAGCACAGGCCTTGTGAATTCACTTTATTGATCAATTTATGTAAGACCTGACGACCCCGATAAAAAGTCCAAACCTCAAAATCTGTCTCTAAAAAGAAAGAAATCCAAATTCTCAAAGTAGAGACAGTACTTTTTAATTAGTTCACATACACACACAAAACTTTTACTACTGTAAACTACTACTAACACAGTACATTAATGCCAAGGAATCTGTGAATTACAACTTCCAGCACTCTTCAGTACTGGCTATGCTGATTGGTTAGTTCAGCCACATCTATAGGGCCATAGATTTTCCAGTTTAAGATGCCAAGATTCCCTTACCAAGTTTTTCACTACTATCCTGCAGGAGGACTTCCTATTTCCTTTAGATTCAGAAACTTACCAAACGGAGTTGTTATCAGTTGGTCCAATGGTGAGATCACGGCAATGGGTGGATACAATTCTAAATTGGATGAAGGTGGGCTTCCACAGGAAATTATATTTTCTGGTGCTATTCCTGAATATGGAACTTTACACATGGAACATATATATATATATATTAAGAAACTAAAACTGGTGGATTTATAACTACATTCATTCAAGGAACTAAAATGTGGATATATGGAAGTGGAAGAACAACTATTTCCACATCATTATTTGGGCAGTTATCTCCCCCACTCCCCCATTATTTAAGGTCTTGTCTTAATATAAATTCTGTATCAGTTTGTCCACTCTAAGCAGTTCATGAAGTAAGCTGCAGTTCATGACAGGTTACACTTTTTAATATATTTTGGTCAGAAAAATGCTGCTAGGATCCTTCTGATTTAATGGGTCTAGGATTCAAATCTTGAGAAAGCAAGCAGATTTTGATCTAGTGGAATTGAAGCTTGAAAGTTTTTCTGCTCCATCATGGGCAGAATTTGGTATCTGGAATGGAACTTACTTAGAAAAGATTATATTCCATTCCATTGTTAAGTGAACCACAGCACTTGTTAAATTAGTAACACAGTTATTAAGTGAATCTGGCTTCCCCATTGACTTAGCTTGTAAGAAGGTCACAAAAGGTGACCACATGACCCTGGGACAATCATAAATATGAGTCAGTGGCTAAGTGTCCAAATTCTGATCAGTGACCATGGGTATTCTACAACGGTCATAAGTGTGAAAATGGTCATAAAGCACATATTTCAGTCACTAAATGAACTGTTGTAAGTCGAGGCCTATCTGTACTACAGTGTACTAGAACTTCATCTTCCAACAATGCTCTTTCAGAACATTTCAATTCTTAAACTTGTTCTTGTCCTTCTTCCAAATGTCATTCATATTTCTCGGTAATTTAGAAAACAAAAACTCTTTATATTATGTGAAAGTGAAGACTTATGCATCCAATCATTATTCCTCTTAAAAGAGGAATTCTTTCTATTCCATATTATTTTTTTTTCCACAATATCTACATTGGTACATGATGTTTAGATGATAAGGTCTTGGTTCACACAGCATTAAAGCGTAAATATAGTTTTCAAAGCTCAAGACTGAGTTTATTGTCTATGAAACAATATGGTTCATTTGGCTTTAGGTAGCTGCTCTGTGTGAATGGAACTTCTTTGACCACAAGACAACCAAGAATTTTCCCTAGATTAAGAAAGCTTACCAAATTCATTGGTTCCATCAGTTTGTTCCAATAAAGCCACTGATGATATAGAACTAACCGGATCTAATTTGGACAGAGATAGAGTTTGATACCACATTAGATAGTCTTCTCCTAGGGCCAAAAGTGAAGTATTGTAGAAGACAAAGAGACATAACGAAAACTTAATACCAAAACAAGGAACAATTTGAACTTTTTCAAAATATAAAATAACTTCATCTCCCTCCCTTTTGACCATTTATTCCTCAAAATGTCGCTAATCTTTTGATCGCTAACATTTTATTTTAAAGACATTTAAGACCAAGACTAAAAATGGAGAAAAACAAAAAATTGAGCTGTACAAATTTTAAACATTAGATAAGAAATTACAACATGCTAAGGAAAAAAGAATATTTGTTATTCTACTAACATTTCATTGGTACAGTATATAAAGGTTATTTTACATTACTTTAACATTATAATTAAAATCAAGTCAGAAATTAAGAAAAACAGCCATCTCTAAGGTTTATTAGTCAAAATAATGATTTCTAACTATAGAGGGTCCTCAACTTATGATCACAACTGAGTCCAAAATATCTGTTGCTAAGGGAGATGGTTGTTACGTGAGTTTTGCCCCATTTTACAACCTGTCTCGTCATAGTTGTTAAGTTAATAGCAAGGTTGTCAAGGGAATCTGGTTTCCCCATTGACTTTGCTGGTCAGAAGGTCACAAAAGGTGATCACATGACCCAGGGACACTGCAACCCGTCATAAATATGAGCCAGTTGCCAAATGCCCAAATTTTAATCAGGTGACCCTGGGAATGCTGCAATAGTCGTAAGTGTGAAAAATGGTCCTAAGTCATTTTTCTGAAACTTTGAATGGTTACTAAACAAATGATTGTAAGTCAAGGGCTAATCTGAAGCAGTCTGAAGTTTATTTTATATTGTAGAGCTTTGAAATCTTAAGTTAATAGAACCCCAAATGATGGATACAATATAGCAGAAATCTATTTGCAAAGTTATAATTCATGTCATGTTAATTTAATGTCATGCATTAAATATGAAGTTATTTTGACATTAATACATACACTTAAAAACCTTGGGTTTGTCTGTCCACGAAAGAAGGAACTGAGTCATTTCCACTATGTTCCAGTGGAAAATATAAAATATACTAAAGCCAATCCACTATTTTTTCTAGGAATGCAAAGGTTATATATACTGGTGAGAAAGAAAAGTCAGTATTTAAAATTTGTTTCATTTTTTTGGTGAATAATCTGCCAAAATTTCTGGGCTTTATGACACTACTTTCAAACATGAAAGAATTCTCCAACCTGGTTATTAAATTTTTAATGTTATTTATTTTAGCTATCAACTGAGGAGTAAAATACCAATAAAACATCTTGTACTAATTTTCTAAGTAAATTTGTCTTCCATTGATGTTCCCATTTTTGCCTTTTAATTTAGATTCTGCATGCTTTTAAACATAGAGGTACAATGTTTAACTTATTCTGTTTCTGAATTACATTTCAGTGACTATTTTATATATGTGCCTCAACAGATGTTCTGTATTTATTTTACAAGCATTTCAAAATGTTGTCAGGTCTCTAAATGTTCCATTTGGCTTTTATAATTTTTTTAAAAACTGTATTAACTTTTTTGATTGTATTGAAATCAATGAAGGAGAATCTCAGAAGATTTCATTTTTGTTTTATTAAAGGTTGTATTCTGCAATCTTTACAAATGATATTTGCATTTATTATGTTGACCATCATGAAAATAAATATTTAATATGATCCTTTTGATTCCTATCACTCACCATTATCAGAACTGGAATGATCCACGGAACTCAGCACATTCTCCTGTGTTTCACCCTGTAGAACAGGATGAAAAAAGCATCTAATCTTGGCATGTTCAACCTATTGGCTTGCCTGATCTACACTGAATGAAGAGGAATTGTCACGGGCTGTTTATAAAATATATAATGTAGTTAATACATATAAATGCACATAATAATGTGAAAAGTTTATAATCTTTTTTTTTAATTAAAAGTTTTTACACTTCCCAGAGCTGACCACAGGGTAACAAATAAACAAACATAATCTAATTAACATAAACCAACCATACTATCAGTCAAAACCATAACACACTTTAACTCCTTCTCAAAACAAATATTAACAAATTAAAACAAAAATAATAATATAATTAAAACTATTAATAATTATCTAAAATCTACTCAAAAGCAAGGTAATACTTTTCAGTTTCATATTTCTTTTAAATATAATCAATCCATCTTCTCCAAACCATAATGTATCTTTCTTGTGAATGGTCCTTCAAGTAGGCGGAGATTTTCGCCATTTCTGCTAAATTAGACACCTTAAGTATACATTCTTCCAAAGTAGGCAGTGAGTTTTTCTTCCAATATTGCCCCACCAATAATCTTGCAGCTGTTATAAGATTCAACATCAAATTGATTTCTTTAATATCAAAATCTACAATAATACCCAACAAAAATAATTGTGGAGTAAACTTTATCTTTCTCTTAAAAATCTTTTGAATATTGCACCAAATCTTAATCCAAAAAGCTTTAATATCTCTACAGGTCCATCAGATATGAAAATAAGTTGCATCTAAATTTCCACATCTCCAACATTTGGGCTGTAAATTTGGATACATGCGAGACAACTTTTGGGGATCCAAATGCCATCTATAAAACATTTTATAAAAATTTTCTCTTAAATTTTGCGCTCGAGTAAATTTTACATTTCTAACCCAAATTGTCTTCCATGTATCCAATAAAATCGGATCTTGAATATTTTGAGCCCATTTGACCATACAATCTTTAACTAACTCCGTTTCAGAGTCCAATTCTATTAAGGCACTATAAATTCTTTTTATATGAGCTCGACTTTGATTTTTAATCTGTTTTACCAAATTCACATCCTCTAAAGTTTATAATCTTATGAGGCTGCATTACTGGCTCTCCAGAATCACATGCCGCCCATGAGCCATGAATTGGACATGCGTGATCTGGTGGTCTCTTGCCCTCTCTTCTCCATTCAGAGTGATATCCAACTCCCAAATTCTTTTTTTCATTTTCATTTGACCATTCCACCATGTAAGGTACGGGGAATGGTTTCCCAGGACAGAAATGTAGCATATATCAATAAGCACTGCCACTTAGTGTTAAGCACACAAAACACAAAGAAAGGCTTTTGAAAAGCTTTTGAAAACAAGGGAGAAAGTAGTGCTGAGTTAAATCTTTAAAGATATAAGAAGATACTACAACTTCATTCTGCCAGGGGACAACATGCTATACTGAGTGTTTGGAAAGCTCCAGCAAAGGAAGGGAATCTGACTATCGGGTGAGATAGAGAAGAACTGACCTGACTAAACGATGAACTTGATCCCCATGACCTTCTACTTTCAGCTGGAATCAATGGGGCGTCACTGACCTCTTCAGTTGGATTATTTAAGTCTATATAAGAAAATAACAAACAAATATTATTTCACTTTGATCCACAATTCTCCCTTCTTTAAATTATACTGTCCTTGGTAGCTGCCAAGCTTTCTGAAGTTAATTCCTTACTGGCAATTTTAAGGTTGATTTTATAGACTTTGTGAGGATCTTCAGAGTCAGTACTATTATTCTCCACCATCTCAATACCATCTTTTCGGTTCAGAGCAGAGCGGAAGTTCCTCTTCCAATCTGAAGGGGTCCGAGGATCCGATTCTGGGTTGTAAAGGTGTCTAACAATGGCCCAATCCTAGGCAGAAAGGCATTAGGTAGGTAAAACCAGCACAGTATATTCTGCATTCTCTTCCTCCATGCTCCCTATCAAACTAGCATATGACTGAATTCATCCACTACACCAAAATCTGATCTGTTTCTGTCTTGACTTGGTTCATTTTGTGAACCCGGCCATTACAGTTTATAAGGCATGGTTTATAGCTTAGTGTGCTGGGGAAACCAAGTCATATGACGTAGGAAAGTTTATGCAGCAACGAGTTTCTTAATTTTTAACTGACCATAATAATCTTTGTAGTTTTTGATGAAAAAACCACTATTGTCCTCTGAAAATGGCTAAAATATATGGCCTAGACAGATATCTAGAAGTGTAGAGAATAAAGGAAAAGGCCTTGATGGGGATAAGATCAAGTCCACAAGAAGCAGATAATATTAGGAAGCAGCTCAGACAAACACTTCCCTAATTCACTGAACCATAAGTAAGAAGGAAGTACAACATAATCAGACTTGTAAGATTTTGTTATAGCCAGTTTCAGTAAAAGTAGTTTTAGCCTGCCTGTGAAATTGATTTCTTGTTAAGGTTTAAATGGGGCTGGCAAAGGGACACAGGTGACTAGTAGAAGCCACTATGGTATCAATGAGCCATGACACCAATGTGCAGAAAGTGCTGATTATATCATGGTGGCGCAGTGATTAGAATGCAGTATTGCAGGCTGACTGTGCCAACTGCCAGGAGTTCAAGTCTGACTGGTTCAAGCCTTCCATTCTTCTGAGGTCAGTAAAATGAGGACTCAGATTGTTGTATGCTGACTCTGTAAACCGCGTAGAGAGGGCTGTGAAGCACTGTGAAGTGGTATATACGTCTATGTGCTATTGCTATTACTACTCATGATGACACACACATTGTCACTTATTTGCTCTTGGGGATCTCAAAATTTGCATGATGACAAGCATAGCATAGTGACAGAAGTTCTGCTCCTATTGTGCTTGCATTGCATGCCTATACAGATGTGTAGTTTTAAACTCCCAGGATTCCTCAGTCAGTATATTCCTGTGACTAAGAAAAACTGATCTAGCAAATGAACACTTAAGCTTTTGGAAGCCAAGAGCATCTCTTGTAAACAAGACAAAAGCATAATGAAACATAAATTTAATTGATTTTATTTCTCTCCAGTCATAGTTCAAATTATTTCTCCTTTCTATCACAGTAAAAGGCACTGGGTGGCTCAGATGTGCACCTCTGTCACAATGCAACATTTTCTCCTTGATGCCCTCTAAGCATGGTATCATAGGTACTAAACTACTTCTGATCTTGCCCATTGTGATTAAGGAATTATGGGAGTCCCATATTGGAAAGAATATTTTAGGGATACAGCAACAACTACCAAGGGGCCCCAAAGACTTATCAATTTCATCTATTGGTTAAAGGACTAGGACCAGGAAAACCTGAGTACTGCTCCATCCTTAAGCATGGAAGTAGCTGGGTGAGTTTGGGCCAGTCATTTTCTCTCAGATCTGGGATTCCTGATCTAGTCAACTTTATATAACTGACATATCTGTCCATGTAACGAGTAAGAGTCCAGACTGACTCGAAGCCCACCACCACCACAAGCTCATTATTCAGAGGCTGAATAATTCAGAGACCCATCAGAAAAAAAAATGGTTCCGGAATGCGGTGACGCCGGTCGTGCCTGGAGACTTGTCTCCACGCCGTCCAGAGTTTCCTTCTACCCCTAGGGGGTAGAAAGTCGCCCTGGAGGGGTGACCACCGAGGAGGACGCTTGCTGGTAGATAGGGGAGGGCGGCAGCTTTCCCCGTGTCTCCAGCTATCTCCTTAGGGCCAACGGAGCAAAGATCGGCCTGCAAGATGGCCGATCACCCTGCTGCACCAGCTGAAAGTCACACTGACATCTAAGTGTTATAGACCCACCGCGGATGATCCGGGTGAGACCCCTTTTATTCCTCTCTTCATCCCATGCTGTTTTTGCCTGTAAAAGCTTGTCCTTGGAATTATTTCCCCGTCTGGAGAAAGCGGCTTTTGTAATTGTGAGAACAAAGGCGTTTTATAAAAGGAAAGGGAAAAAAAATTAATTTAAAGACTATACTCTATTTCTATCTACATTGAGGTACAGAAAAAAATGTTCTTTGTTTTTTTTTGGGAGCGGTATTATTTTATATTGGGAGAATATTTCCTTTTCCACTCTTTCTTTAAAGAAATAGAAAAGAAAAGGAAAAAAAATGGCATTTGAAACAGACTTTTTAGCTTACTGTGGACATCTACTGGTCAAAAGTTAATATTGTAATTGTTGACTATTTGGAGATGATTTTGGCCTTCAAATTATTTTTCAAGAGACAAGATAATTTGAGCCAGTTGGGAAATTTGTGGGGGTGGATACTCTTCAACTGTATCCTCCACAAAAAAAAGAAAAGAAAAAAGAAAAGAAAAAGAAAAAAAGGATTGCTTTTCAACTATTGTTAAAATGGAGAAGCCTTAATCACATTTAAACTGTAAACTTCTACTGGAAAAGATCTATGAGGCCAAAGAAGAAATATGCACTACAATAAAAGAGTTTACTATAGAATTAAGAGCCAGAATCTCTACTGTAAACCCCAAAATTGACTCTCAGATTACACCTGACTACTCTACAAAACAGATTATACAAGAAGAGGATTTAACTGAGAATAAAGAGAAATTTATCTTGCCTTATAAACAGTCTACTTATGGCTTTGAGGACCAGGAAAAGCAAAAACTGAGTTTTGAACTTTTGAAGCAACGAGGACTTATGGATAAGAGAAACAGAGGGCCAATGCAGAGGTCAAGATGGTTTTCATCAAATCAAAGGACACTACAAGCAACAAAAAGAGACTTATCAGCTGGAAGGGAAGCTCTGCTATGGAAACCTGCCTGGCATAAGAGGAAGGCTAGAATAAGATTGAAAAATGAAATTTAAAATTTCATGCATTGGACTAAAGGCAATCTAGAATTATGGACTGATTTAAGGATTAAGATTATGAGTTAGAAGTAAAGAGATGTTTTAGACTTGGATTGAATTAATAATTAATTGAATGTTAATCAAATAAGATGACTTGTTTGTTTCATAATATGGATGTTATTAGCTATGATAACTAATTGGATGAAATTTGTATTCTGCTTAATGGATTGATATGAATTAAGGTTTGATACTATTTTGTCATCTTAAAGATTGATTAATTGATGGATTAGATACGTATAGGATAGATAGATATGTATATTTAGATATATATAGGATAGATCAATATTTTTGCTTAAAAATGAGATATTTTCTATAAAATGGACTAAAGGTAATCTAGAATATTAAGAATGTATTTTTTAGAATGATACGTTTATTTGTATGAAAATTATTATATAATGGAATGAAGAAAATTGAGATGTCTTAGATTTGGATTGAATTATTAATTAATCAAATTAATTTAATAAGATGATGTGTTTGTTTGATGACATGGATGTTATTAGTTATGATAATTAATTGGATAATTAATTGAATTCTGTCTAATGGATTGAAATGATTTAAGGTCTGATATTATTCTGTTAGCTTAAAGAAATTGATTAATTGATGGATTAGATAGGTATAGGATAGATTAATATTTTATTTTAAATAGGGGAGATTAGTGGAAGAAGAAATAAATAAAATTCATGATAAAATTAAGGAACTAGAATATATGTGGAAGGGATACCTGAATTGATAAGGTTTTTATTTAAAGTTAACTTGATTACAGTATTATAAATTTATAAAGCTTTAAAACAGGTCCAGGTGGAATAAATTTAAGCTAGAACTGGATATTTTAAATATACTATTTGAGGGAAAAAGAGAGGGAATACCTGATGTATTGATTGTACTATGTATATATGTTTTGTTCTAGGTTGTTTGATTACCCCAGCACCACGGTGTGTCCTGTGTACTTTGTTTTAAGAATTTTAAAAAACCAGTAAAATGTGTTTCAAAAAAAGAAGAAGAAGAAGAAAATGGACTTGCCATCAACAATTGAAGAAAGACAGTTTGGTCTAGTGGTTAAGGCACCAGACTAGAAAGCAAGAGACTATGAGTTCAAATTTTGCCTTAGCCATGAACATCAGCTGGGTGACCTTGAGTCAGTCACTTTCCCTGAGCTCAACTCACCTTATGAGCCAACAGTGTGCTCACAGCTGCCCAAAAAGTCAATGCAGTCCTAGGTTGCATCCATAAAGTAATAGTGTCAAGATCAAGAGAAGTGACAGTACTGTTTTATCCAGCAATAGTGGGCCACATATGGAATACTGCATCTAGTTATGGTCACCATGATACAAAAAAACTGATACTCTGAGAAATGTGCAGATAATAGCAACAAGGATGATAAAGATTCGGGAGAAATCAAATGATGAACAATTGAAAGAGTTAAATATGTCTAGCCTATGGAAGAAAAGGATTAGGAGGGAAATAATAACTATCTCCCAATACTTTGACGAGATGTCACAAAGAAGAGGGGTTGACTTATTCTCCAAAGCACCAGAATGAGAAGAAGAAGTGACAGGTGGGAATCTTGTTAAAGATGAAGGGAATTTTTCTGACAAGAACAATTAATCATCTCTTTCACATAGGATGTGACACACATCCAACAGGGGAAGAAAACTCCACTAGCTTACCTCAAAGATCTGAAAATCCATTGGGTTGTGGTTCTGCCGTGAGGCATGCTTCCATGGCAGTCGGAAAAGTGTTTTTTCTGAGTTGAGCCAAGACACACCTGGATATCGCTGGCTATCCAACTGCTCTATCAGCCAGGGCACAATGAGAGGTTTCTGAGTTCCCATTGGGGATATACAGATATGATGTCAGTTTAAATCTGTGGGGAAAGAACAGAACATTAACATAGTGCACTGGAGAAGCGTGGAAAAAATGCTTTTCATGCATGGAGAGAACCTTTGCTTATCATAAGATCCTTGGTAGGTCTCTGAGGTTGGTGGTTTTTATACAGATATTTCATTACCAACTATGTAACATCATCAGGGATATGTACAGATGTGCACTGATGATGTTATCTATTATGGTAATGAAATGGCTGCAAACCCCCCCCCCACCAAATTCATCAAGGACCCCACAGTTCAACCTTGAGATACAATTCTTTTCTATTGTTTGCAGTCCCTTGCCATCCACAACTACTTCCCCAATCTGTAGCTGTGCAGATAACTGAACCTTCTAAAATTTCTTTGTCAGCAGGGTCAAAGTCCAAACACATGGAGGATAATTGCTTGATAAAAGCTCTAAGCAGCAGCGAATTTAGGCTGCTCCCCTATTTCTAAACAAGACGCTGATCCTCCTGCAATAATCTTTTCTCATGCCCAACATATTTTGGACATCTGAACAATCAACTGTCTCATCCCTAGCTCCACTCTAAATAAAAGAAGATGGAATAGTTGCACAAACCTTTTGGCAACTTTCAGCCGCTTCCCGTCTGGAAGTGTGCAGGGTAGGATTTATTTCGCAATAAACGTCGGGTTTATTCTGTAAATTTTGGAAATACCACAAAGAGAAACTGTTATTTGGTGGGCCTCGCGTATTTTGATTTCGGATCTGGAAGGCGGAGCGTAATTGCGGGAGACTTCGGCACTTTTATCATCGCTGTAACGATAGCTTGAGTGTCTTCCCGAACTCCGAGCCCCCCTCCCCAATCAGAGTACCTACCTCTTTCTCTACGGGATCTCTACTTCAATCGAGCGATTTAAAAAAAACAGGGTACAAGGTTCCCTCTCCACCGTCACACGTTTACTTTCGATTTCTTGATTCAGAAATCTTCAACTGGGCACGCCTCCTAGTCTAGCTGAATCAGAGAGGATTTTTTTTTCTCGATACGTCTGAAGAAACCACCCATCAGGGAGGCAGTTTTGATGTTTTTTTTTTTCCTTTTAGGAAAGCAATATTTCGACAGCGAGAAATATGTGATGGTAAGAATCTTAGGAAGTCATGCCGATTGGAGCTGACGGAGAACTGGATAAACGTCATTTCCCGGTGCCAATTTGGGGAAAGCTGTGAGAAATTGCTGAGGAATTTTAGAGGAGGTTGTGGGCTTCTAAAGTAACCCCCAATTGTGAAAAAGGGTGCCTAACGCTGCTAATTTTCTTCCCAAAGGAATCTATCAACCAATAGCCATCTCTGCAGGGGAAAGTATCATCTTGCTGAAATGAGAGTCCTGGAGGAGCCTGGACCTTATGCCTGCCTTCTCTGAAATCTTATAAAGAAGCCTAATGCATCTCCTCTCTTTATGCCCTCTCTGTTGCTGGAGGGTGTACATTCGGCCAAGCAGGCTGAGGCACTGTAAGAGACAAGCCTAACACACCTAATGGGCATCAGACTGGGCAGCTAGAAGCTGTGCATGAGCAAGGGATAATACTGGTGGGTTCCCATTCTCTTGCTCATTTGAATGGCCTCAAAAGAACAGCTACTGGCAGCCTCTATTGGCGTGCTTTCATTTTCATGAAAGACCCTCCCACCTTCAGGATTCTGCAGGAGTCATTGTAATAGAGCTGGGAACCACTTGGACAAAGCGTCTAATTATTAGTAGCAGTTCTTTATCCAAGGAAACAGCAGTTTTGTTAGTTGCTTCCACCCTATTCCTCCCCCCCCCCATTACATAGTGGCTGGTATTCTTTTTAATCCTCAATTTATGATCACAATTGAGACTAGAATTTCCATTGCTAAGCAAGGCAGTTATTGTAAGTCATGCCTGATTTTACAACATTTTTGTCACTGTTGTTAAGCAAATCTGGCCTTCCTCATTGACTTTGCTTGTCGGAAACTCGCTGGGAAGATCACAAATGATTATACGGTCCAGAACACTGCAACCATTGTAAATACATGCAGGTTGCCAGGCGCCTGAATTTTGATTATATGACCATGAGGATGCCATGATGGTCTTAAGAGCGAGGACTGGTTATACATCACTTTTTGTCAGTACTGTTCGGTTATAACTGAATTGTAAGGCTAAACAATATGAATCCAGACACTTTGTTTTGTAAACCCTCATTAATGGTTTAGCATTTTTGTGAACCTTATCAGTTGTAAATGTCTATGGAGATTCTCAGTCCAGTTGTTTTTTGAAAAGCATCTTTGGGACTTGCGAACTGCATTTTATTCAGGAAAAAATTGTTAAGCAGAATAGTGTTTTGTGAGATTACAGGCATCAGATTAAGCCATAATATATTTAATATGCGTACAGTGTTAACTCAGTTATGTTTATGTCTTTATATCATGTTTGAAACTGGCCAGTTTGTTTAGCGACCATTCAGAGTTACAACAACACTGAAATGGTGTGACATGACCAGTTTTCACACTTAGGATGGTGTAGCATTCCTATGGTTATGTGATCAAAATTCAGAAGCTTGGCAATTAACTCATATTTATGAAGATTGCATGTCCTGGTTTCACATGATCCCTTTTTACGACCTTCTGACAAGCAAGTGGGGAAGCCAGATTCACTTAACAACAATTTGACTAATTTAACAACTGTGGCAATAAAGGTTGTAAAATGGGGAGACTTCCGGTTCTGGTTCGCAGAAGTGCGGTCAAGCGAAGGGAGTCGTCCCTTTGCCGATCGAGTTTCTCCTGCCAATAGACCCCTTAGAGGGTCAAAAAGACACTCTGGAGGAGCGTCTACCATTAAGGAGGCTTCTTGGATAGTTGCAGAGGAGCGGCAGCATCCTCTGTGCACCGAGTATCTCCTTTGGGCCGACAGGGTAAAGATTGGCCAGTAAAATGGCCGATCATTTAGCTGCACCAACCGTAAGCCATAAGATCATCTAAGCAAGCAGACCCACCGTGGAAGATTTGGTGAGATTTTTTTTTAACCTCTATTTTCTTTTTTTTCCTGTGAAAAGTTTTTTTTTCTGGAATTATTCCCCTTTTTGTTGAAGCGGTGTTTTAAATAGGGGCAGGAGAAGCTTAAGAAAAGGATGAAATCAATTTTTGTTTTAATGGCTGATTCTATTTTTGAATACTTTGGAGCCCCCCAAATTTTTCTTTTAGAGAGACTTAAGAGGCTATGGATGTGGAGAGTATTATTTTCTCTTATTTTTTTATGTTTTCCAAAAGGATTGGTTATTTGATTAACTTTGATTATTTGTTAGGGGACATCTTCTGCTGAAACTGCATATCGTTCTTGCTATTTTTTTTCTTTTCTCTTGGAATTTGCATAAAGGAAATAGACTAAGAAACTTGGGAGGAGATGGATATTGAGTGATTGTGTTTAAATATAGTCTCCCCCCAAAAGATAATGTCTTCAAATATGATAAAAATGGAGGAAACCTGTTCAAATTCTATTTATAAATATATTTTGGATAAAATCTCAGAAAACATGGAAATGATAATTGCTTGTAAAAAGGAGATTTCTTTACATCGACAAAGTCAATGTATTCAAAAGACTCACTGAGACGGAAGAAGCAAATGTACAGTTGGATTTTCAATCGATACCAGAAACAAGTCTTGATATAAATGGTCAGATGACCTATAATATGGAAATGGAGGAGCTTACTTCAGAAGGTCATTCGACATTCTGAGAGAGAAAAAACTATTGGAAGAAGAGCAAAACTTGACTAAAGGGGACTATTCTAAAAAAAAACGATTTCAACTAAAGTTTATGCAACCTTGAAAAAGATGGGAAGTGACGTTTTGGCACAAGCTTTTCAGAATGACTATAACTCTTATACCAGCCTAAGAAAATGGATAATGGGAGACCTCTCATTGCTATGCACAGTGTGGCAGGAGACAATGGGAGAGCTATTTGCAGAACTAGAGACTCGACTATGGAAACCTATTTGGAATAGAAGGAAACCCAGAATAAGATATAAATATTAAATTTGAGATGATAATTATGGATGGTAAAGATGTTATAGCGATTTGGATTGACTTGATTTGGTTTGTGTTAAATGGGAGGCTATTATGAAATGATTTAGAATTTAATACTGAAGTAAAGCAAGGGTTTTTTTGTGTATGTTTGTTTGTTTTTCTTTTCCTTTTTGTGGTTTTTGTTTTGGAATCAGATGGAATTAATAATTGGAGAATTATTGAAAAAGAATAGAAATATAGTTGAGAAATGTAGGAATTTAGTTTTGGAGCTAATATGTTTAAATAAGAGAAATTGGGGGGGGCCTGAAATAGTTAAATAATTAGGTTAGCTTAAATTTAAATATTTGGAAAAATTAATAAAGTTTAAAACAGGATCATTGGGATAGATAAGGAGCTTTCGTAAAAGATTATTGACTAATGAAATTTATATCTGGCAATATACTTAATGAAAATTTGTGTTAGAAATGTACTGAAATTCTAATAACTTAAACAGAGTGTTTGTTTTGATTTAAGCATTTAATTTATATATAGCGATATATTAATGAATGAATTGGCTATTGTTGTTGTTAATTGCGAAGTCGTGTCCAATCCATCGCGACCCCATGGACAATGTTCCTCCAGGTCTTCCTGTCCTCTACCATCTTCTGGAGTCCATTTAAGTTCACACCTACTGCTTCAGTACCACTGGCTGTTTGTATTGAAAATTTTTATTTTTTCCATTTAAACATTATAAAAATACAATACAATTTTAAAATAAGATAAATTCATAACCATTGGTGCGACCCGCCCATTCCCCCCAGGCTGCGTCCATCCTTTCTTAAAACATTCCCTACTTCCCTCCTCTTTCTCTCCTCCCCTCCTACTCTTTTCCCCTCCCCCTCTCCTCTCAATACCCTACTTCCTCTCTACACCTTCTCTCCTCTCATCCCTATCAAACCCATGAACGCAGCATAAGGGGAGTGCCCGGGCCGCACTCCTATAAACAACCATTATCTATACTACACTTACCCCCCCTCTTACCCTCCCTCCCACCCCCAACCCCCCTCCCTTCACTTCCCAGAGCAGAATACAGGGTTAATAATAACAAAATTTAATAATAAAAAAAAGAAAGGAAAAGAGAAAAGAAAAGAAAAAAGAAAATATCATAATTAACCTTTAACTCCATAACTTATAAAACAATTCTCTATAATATTTGTTATAATATTCATTCATAAAATAAATGAAACTTTTTAATTCCATACTTTTTCTGAATATAATCTATCCATCTTCTCCATACAATGATGTATCTTTCTTGTGTATGATCCTTTAAATAAGCAGAAATTTTTGCCATTTCTGCAACTGGCTCTTGATGGACTATGTTACTCATTCTTGCTCAAAGTCAGAGAGTGAGTATCCAGGTAGAATAGTTTAATCCAACCTTGTGCTTTTTAGATGTGCTCTACTAATACACCCATCATTCTTATCAGATTTTCTGCTTAAAATTCTAGGAACTGAAGCAATATAGAAAAATATTAACCTTAAGAGTGGTACATAGACTTCTGTGGACACTCTAATGTATAAACATGTCAGAAGTCACCAGCCAGTGAGAGCTGTCTACTCATCACAAAATGAGTTCAGATATCTCTCAATATTTACTGAAGCTTTGCTTGCTGCAGTGATTGCGTAAGCACAATGTATGCTTTGATGATATTCAGGCTCCTTCTTTTTCCTGCACATGCATAATATGCTTTTTTAAAAACTGTGATCCCTGTTTCAACTTGAGAAATACTGATTTAGTGATTTGTGTGAACATATAGTAGCCATCTAAAAGCCCAGTGCTGAGCCACAGCCAGTTCAGAATCAGGCTGCAGAAGTGGTGAGCAAGTGCGTGCCTGAAGCTGCATTTGTGAAAGCAGCACATGTGTGTGCATAAAACCATCTCCTCTCCCCCCCCACCGCGCTGCCGCCATCGCCAACACCTCCGTGGTCCACTGAGCCGGGATGGGTGGGGACTGCTACTATAGAGGAATACAACTGATGAGCAAAT